CAGGAAAACGAGAAAGCACTAGGCTTTTCGTTTTAGGCATGTTCGCACGCTTGCCGGTCACATTCCATTGGGCTTTGAACTATTCCACAAAGCACTGGATATCAGTTCCGGTAGATGTAGCAAAGCAGGGATATCCGCAAGCAGCAAGCTTCTCGTCTACACATCTACGCTGAACTCTGGCTGCGCCTACATATCCTATCCACGTACAACACGTAACACTAGCATTCTTCATTAGGGCTCTTACGCCCACGCTTTGGAAGGAGGCCAGAGCGATCGACTGATACCATGACTAGACGAAGCTATTAACAGAGTAGTGACTCAAAATCGTAGCCAATCGAAACAGAGCAGCGAATTGCTTCACAGGTTGCCTTTGACATTTCTGCGGAGTGGGATTAATGAATGGCACCGAAATGATGGGATTGAAGTCATTTTAATCGTCAAACAACGTTTAGCCTTGCGAGGGTTGAAGTGAGGTTTTGAGTTTACCTGATGGTGACAGATGCCTATTCTTTCGAAACGTCTTTATGCATAGTAAACATTAAGTTTATGTTGTTTTTTTTCTGTTAGGCAGGAAACTGAAAAAGACTCCTGCCTTTAGTCATCCTCTGCACGGTATTGGCATGAGTTACAGAAGTGAATTATGAACGTTCTGCGTGACGGAACAGAATCACGCCAAGGTATTTCGCATATCCGAACTTGGTAATCGCACTGTCGTGCACTAGTTGCTTTGCAAAAACTAATATCATGAAAGACCCGATTACTTTTAGACGTTTGCAGTATTGTATTGTTCTTCGAAAGAATGTTTTTCTCCTGTTCTTATTATATTGCATATCGATTGCTTTATTGAGTGCGCACTTAACTTGTTTAAGCTATACACTTTTTCAGGCCTGCGTTAAAGTTGCTTTGATGCGGTTTTGCTTCATTCATATCCTAATGACGTAAAGCTATCGTTTTCGTTTTCCTGGGAAAACCTGATATTGCAGCATTGCTCGTTGATTAGTACGGTTACGGTGAATTTACGGTAACGTTCGGGAATATCAAGGTACAGATTGCAGCTTATGCATTAAAACGGACGTAGCTCAGTTACTTTCATGTGAATCCCCCTTTATTTAGGCGTGTTTCTGGTTTCGTCTGTAGTCGTTTCATCTCTGAACCCTGCCACCATGAACGACGAATTTTACCGAGAAGCTGCCGACTATGTAAAACTGTGGTCGTCCCCGGTAATCGCCGTATTGTCGACGGACAGCGCGGAAGCGGCCTGTTTGCGCAACAGCCTAACGTTCTGTCAGCTGCTGTTTCCGTTCAGTAAACTCGACGAGGACGGTCAGTAGCGTTGTTTTAGCTGTTCGTACGGTCACCTGTATGTCGACCCGGTTTCAGTAACGTTGCGAGACCCGTTCGGCCAGAACCACAACGTGACGAAGTTCCAGCTGGATTTCCGAGACCTGCGTCGCAACGGTTTCCTGACGTCGAATGCGTTGCAGCTGGTTTTAACGAATATTTTGCGCTACCGCAATTTGTTCGCCGAAGCCGATATTCAGAATCTGGCGCACAAACCACCGAACACCACGGCTCACTCGTCGCCGTGGCTAGTCAAGTATCGGCGCCATATGTTGCAGTTGCTCGAACAGTCAGAACACGAATTTTTACGCTGCTATATGGCATGTAAGTTTGTCGTCAGCTACAATGTGTGACAAGTGCTCGGTTCAGGTTTATTTTCTTTTCTGTCATATAGAGAGAAAGAAACAATCTGAAGGTTAGTCAGTGAATTACGTTTATTGGCTTAAATGCGGTGATGCTTGCGGTAGGACAATAAGGCATGTTCACCTAAAAGAATTGAGTGCAATACTACTGTTTTTCTCCTTTAGAAAAGTTGACGATTCGAATAGGCCAGATTCGAGAGTACTTTTAAGTTGAATTCTTAGATTCTGATCACCCGACTAACAGAACGGTGTTTTTCGTTTCCTGCTGCATCCATCAAATATAGTGCAGATCTGCAATCTCATCAGAGGATTAGTAGCGCGCAGATTTCATCAGATTACTTAAAAAATTAATACGGGGAGTTCTACCAGTCTTTGCTTTTGGGGTTGTGTTCAGTGTTCTTGTCCTGAACAGAATCACCTTAAAAGACAGCATCGTTTCAACGACAAGAGAGAAGATTCATGCAGGGCTTAGGTAATCGAAACTGTAAGAGATGCCATTATCAAAAATTTTGCATTCAGGTGGCCTGGACGGGCGACGACAGTTCCACTGTCGTATCTACAAAATATTGCATACGCATCCGATTTGTTAATCGGCTATATATTTAAAATGTAAAGGGTGAATGGTCCAGTCAGGATTCGAACCTATGATGCGTCGGCGCTCTGTTCACTGACTTACTATGGGTTAGAAGAGTAGACAGAATGCCATCCTGGGTGGTTAAACTTGAATAAGTTGCTCACGTATTACTCTCTCAAGAAGGGGTGGAGGAATCGTTTCATCGACAACACATCGTACTAGGTCGAAGGAGGGATCCATACAACGCCTGACAGACGCCGCGCAAAAGTGAAGATAACCTAACCTGATTCATAGCACTAAAATCTGAGCCGACGGCGAAATGCGGCCGGAGATTGAACACGATCTTGTCAACTACCTGAAAAGAAATTCAGGTATGGGTGAGGGAATTTTCTTTATTATGAGCCATGAGTGCATCTCTCGCGACCCGAAAGGAGAAGCGGCAATGGAAGATGAATAAATGAGGCATCTCACAGCTCACAACAGGTACATTTGATGTTCGAGGTTCATGTTCAAAGTGTCTTTTAAACATTTCACATGACCACTAGCGTATTTGTGACCGCCTGTCATGATTTGGAGCGAAGCGCTACTTTCGTCAAGCAACTATTCGATTCGCATAGAGTGCCGAAACCAGCGGCGATTGCCAGTCATCATGACACTTTCTCAATAAACTCTTCAATTGCGAAAATATTATGCATACCAATATGCTCTCTACGTGAACAATGAACAGTGTTTTTCCCCTGATTAAAGTGTTGGTAATAAAAATATGCAAGATTGGGAAATGTTTTACTTATGATTTCCTACATGTTGTTCATCTATCTATCGGGATAAAGCTATTTTTTTTATCATTTTCTGCAATAACCCATGAAATAATGTCCGGCTGGATCTTCAGTTCGTCTTCCTAGAAGTGGTTGCCTTCTACTCATAGACAGACAGCATAAATCTTGCTTTGAGGTTCCGGTCGGTGACCCTCCTGAAATCGTACAACCCAGGTTTGTAATATTAATGTTTTTCTCGCTTCTCATACACAGAAGGACCTTAAAGAGCAGAGGAGGCTCCTGTAATTCCCTATGCCATAACCTCATTGGCCGACCATTTCTAAGCTCATGCCAGGACTTCGTAGGTACCGTAGCGGCTTAGGCATATTTACTTTAGCAATCTTCATCCTGCTGTGCGACGATGTACTTTTATCTTTCTCATATCCCCGTTACAGAGAAGTCGATTGTGGACTATGAGTAGCACGAATGCACTGCCATACAAAGTGATAAAAGCGAATGAAATTGATATAATCGATTGTGCCCATGTGAATGGATTGCTTACGATAATCCTGTCAATTAGTCACTGACTATATTGAAGATAATTTTTCGGAAGATTACGAAAGTACTGTCAGGGGAATCCATGATTTTTCTTCTTAGTTTGTGGAAAATGCTTGACCCAGTGAATGGTGATCTACCATGTACCAGGAATTCAGTTGAGGCATGGCATCGAGCGTTTCAGCAGGCAGATTTTCATCTTGTGTCAGTATAACTAATTAATCACTTCGTCAGAGAACAAAATTGTAATAGCATGTGACTGATCGATATCGTCTTGAATTTAGATATCCTGCGACGTCACATTCAGTAGATTCTCAATAATCCCTGCAACCTTTTTTTTCAGCCTACGTTGACCTGCCGCTGCTGGCGTTTCTGGCGGAATCACACATAACGTTCGAATTCGAACTTAATTGCATGTAGAGATACAAATCTGTTATTGCTTATTGTGTTTATATCAACAGAAATTGTTTCGTATTGCTGTTCATTTCAAAAACTACAAATATATTCATGCAGTTTTTTTTCAAATACGTTGATACGGAGAAACTTTGCCCCTCATTGCTTATAGTCATCTAACAGGACACTCCTCAGTGGCTTTAAACGCATTTGGTACAAGGTGCAAGACCATGTCTCTGAGTTGGAAAGGAAGAGAAAAGAAAGTTCGTAACTGTTGGAATATCGGTCTCCCTTATACTTTCATGATTCATGAGACCATTCGTTTTATGAAGTTGCTGGTGCATTGCTTAATTCCGTTTCTATCAGCTAAGAGGGTGTTATGTTAAAGGCAAAGTCTGCAGCTGCTTGGCAAGTGCAGTATGTAGTCTCCTGTTTTTTCCGTGAAGTACTACTGATTTACGAACCTCGGAAGAAATGCAAGAGACTTGACCTGGGCTCGAACCAGGGACCTCTCGGTTTCTGAGTCTGGTGCTCTACTGACTGAGTAATCCCGGTCTCTCATTTGGGCTGAACAAGGGCATTCTCGAGCACCAACCAAATTTGCGAACTGTCTGTCGTTAAATATATTGATAAAATATTAAATATAATATACCTATGATATTTTGCGGTAGCTACCATGAATGGCAGCTTTCCAATTGCTTCGGTAAATATTTAAGTTTCTAAAACTGGATTTGCACGACAACGCGTAACTCCTTTGCTTTTAGTTCCCTATGGGAACCCAAC